ATATAAAAATATAAAGTGATATGAACTTTCAATCTAACGGTTAGATTTACAAAATTCACATTTAATATAAAGTTATTGAGCTGTATAATACTTAGTGAGTTACACCGGTGTCATTATATCCCTCCTTATATATATATATATATATATATATATTATTCTGTTAGGGTTGGAGGTCATGCAAAACAACAGCAACGTTCATAGACATATAATCAAGACGAATATGTCTCATAATCGTACAAAATTAAGCCCCCATCTAATCATGGGGGCACTTTGGCCTACATATATGTGACTTATAATTCTTTGCTTGCCAAGGGTAGATCTGTTTATAAACCTCAAGTCAATGTACTTATGTTTTGCTATAAGTGATGGGTATATTAGGGCAAGCAAAGTATTTCATGGTAGCGAGAGAAATATCGTGTACTTGATTTGTTTACTAAAAATCTAACAACCCCATGTGTTAGATTCTTGCCCTATAACTAGGATAAATCTTTACAAGTACTTATAGTTGCACAGCTTTGAAAGTGTATGTAAGAATAGTGTGCACATGAAGCCCTCTACAATTTACTTTTCCAGATATCGCTTCAGCTTTTCCTTCTGTGTAGCTTAAATTCCTCTTCTCGTTGGCTATAAGCTGCTGAAAAATTAAATTCGTACTTTATTCTATTTGCATAAATATGTAATCTACTTTTTAGCTTTAACCTTTGACAACAATATCATTGTATATATACGAATTATATATATATATTGTGTTTCTCTTCATTCGAATCTCAGTGTAGAACATTGATTGGATATCGGTCATTTGTTAGTACTGTTAAAAAATCACTCAATCAAGGACGTTTGAAAGTTAAAAAACAAGTATTTCCAATTGCATGCGTGAAAATGATTTCAACTATCGCTTTAATTAGTTTGTTTGTGAAACTAGTTTGATTTGTTATAAAATAAAATAAAATTACTACTTAACTACATGAAACGTATAAAAAAAAAAGTTAAAAAAAAACCTTAGCTACACGAAAGAACATACTTAGTTATTTGGTAATGAAACACTTATGATAGAATTTGATATTAAAATTATTTTGGCCAATTACGATTCTCGCAATAACATATTTCTGTTGAAAAATACATATATATTATACCAATAAACTAATGTATTAATTTTTTTAGTATTTTGTATATACCTTTTTTATGCATTTTTAAAATTAAATAATACATAATAATAGTTGCAAAGGGAAATGAAAATAATTTATGGACAATAACGTTATTTTAAAATATAAATCCTTGATTTGCAAAAGATTTACATGAGAACTGTGGTCCGAGTTCTGATAGTTACCCTACATAAGACTGCTAGCTAAAAGGTTAAGCCATGAACACTTTATTAACATGAGAATTTTCCTTTTTTGACTATAAAGCTCATAATTTGTTACCTTTATCTATTACTGGACTTATACGTGTTTCCGCATACACAAAGAGTTAATTCATCTTATCTTTTGTTTACATATGTGTGCATGAGAGATAAAAGATGTATAGCTATAGAAACAACAAGTGGAGTGGTGGGTTAACAGGCAAGGAATCGTACTATTGCATTTATGCCTTTTTTTTACGTGTGAAAAGTAAAACAAAATATTATGCAGTTTGTGTATTTAATTATTTCCACTTAAAATAAATTAACAGAATATGAAGTTGGTGCATTTTGTGATTATCATGAATATGTATACCCCTTCTTAATTTTAATAAATTTTTTGTTACAGAATATATATTTTCAAATAACCATTATTAAATCAATAGCTTTATTTTTGTTAAATAACAAATTTTTATTTAATTATTATCCTTTAAATTAATAGGGCCACTTAAATCATGAAACTATGATTTTTTTATAAGCAAAATCAAATTAATTAGAGGAATCAAATCAATATTATTCTTTATTATTATTATTATTATGATTATGATTATTATTATTATTATTTAGATTGAGATTTGTCCTAAGCTGAAGAGAGAGAGAGAGAGAGAGAGAGAGAGAGAGAGAGAGAGAGAGAGAGAGAGAGAGAGAGAGAGAGAGAGAGAGAGAGGAGTTGTTGTGTGAATGGATAGAAATATGAATGAAGTATTCAAAAGAATTAAATGAAACATAAAAATATATTTTATAATGATTAAAAATATGAATTTTTAAGATACAATTTTTTTATTAATTAACATAAAATTATTTATTAGTTTTTAGAATGTTTTAAGAATTTTTTACAATTTTTGTATATTATATAAATATTTAAAATTTAATAAAAAAAGACCATTTCTCTTCCATTTCATTCCATTATGAGAAAGAAATAATTTTTTGTGGGTTTAACGAAAATAACTTCATCTCTTCCAATTATTTCTCTCAAAAAAGCAGTGGAAATCTAAAATTTCTATCATAATATTGCTCTCTCCTTCCTATTTTCTTTTACACTCTATTTCTACCAAAACAAACTAGGGTTAAAATCATACTTGTCAAAATAGACTACGTACGTAACTACGAAAAAAATGCTAATAATTAAGCTGAAATGACCTAAAGACAACAGGCTATAATATAGCAGCGTGAGATATGCATGTATTACATGCATTATTGCTTTGAAATGTGATTTTAGCATGACAAGTTTTATCAAATGTGATTGAAAATGAAACAAAAGGACGAAATTTAAAGTACAAACGTACATATATAGAGATTTTATAGATTTCATTACACGTTTTGGAAATTTGAGAATATTGTGACATGATCCAAAGGGTTATTTGTTGGAGAGATTAACCCTTTAAATAAAGCTTAATATTTTCATAAACTAGTCCTTATATTTTAATTAAGAGATACTTTGATTTAAAAAAGAAATGGGTTGATTGTATATTGATTGTATATTGAGAATGCCTGCATTTCCCTTTTAATTTAGTACACATATTAAAAATGAAAAAAACTACGCAATTGTACATAACATTTAATATATTCAGTAAAAAATCATTAGAGTTAATCTAATATTAATAATTGAAATAGTATATTGTAATTTAATATATATATATATATATATATATATATATATATATATATATATAAAATATAAAAAAAAAATCCAATCCATTCCTGCCTTACATTTTCATGTGCATCCATGCATCCATACTCACCATGGGGCATCCACAACCATCCATCAACAATCAAACAATCAATCATCAATGAATCAAAAGGACTCCGCAACAAGCGCGTGGAGAGGCATCACAATACTCACACGACAGGGGCACATCAAATCTCCTGCCCATCCACCTAGGGGCAGTCTTTCATCCCAGAACACCAACAAGACAAGTCAAAAAGGAAACACAAATTCCAATTGACAGCATTTGAACAAAAGAGAAAAGCAACCCAAATTAGAGGCATCACGACACACCTCCTGCCCAACATCCTTGGGGCAATATCTACCACAAGTCAAGCAAACCAATGAGGGCACCGACAGTTTCCTCAAAATACAACAAAGGTCTGGAGATACTGTACTCACCTCCCAATCCGGTATACGACAAAGCCGTGAGGGAAAGGTCTGGACAGACTGTACTCACATCTCAATATATATATATATATATATATATATTAACCAGCTAACAAAAACATGATTATAATTCAAAATAATAAAAAAAAAATTGAGTCATTAATTTCGTATATGTAAAATTGTAATAAACACACTTTTAAATCATTTGGAGAGAAACTCAATCCGGATCAATCAATGTAAACACAAACCGAAAATACTCTTAAACAAGACATTTTGATATAAATGCTCCTACTAAGTGTATCACAATAACTTTTATTGCCAACACAATGTTGATAGTTTGTACCCCCATCAATATTTATTCTATTTTCACTATTAAAAATAAAAATAAAAATAATTACGAGTACAAGGTTTACGCGTTTAACAGTTGCACACAACAGCAAAGAGACCAGAAGATGAGAAAGTAGAGACACAGTTTAATTAATTTGTTTCAATATCCATATTCTTAGCTGCCTAATTCCCTATTATAGTCTTGTCCACTTGCCTCGCCAACTTGCCACTCTTCTTGCACTATCACAATAGCCTATATATTTCACACCACAAAATAAGAAACACCAACCAAAACACACACACAACACAACACAACACAACACAACACACGTAACAATTAATTTTCCTTTTCTTCCATGCCCCTCTCTCCTTCTTCCATGGCTTCAATCCCTCAGTTCTATCCAAACTACACGTTCACCACTCATGATCTTCAGGAGTTTCCCACACCACTCAATGGCAACGCCTCAGTGATGGACAACGCCATGTGGGGTGCTCAAGATAGCTTGATTCCTGTGCTTGACATGAACAATGGTGCACTTGATCATATTGTGTCACTTGATTGTGATGCCATGGCTTGTGCTAATTGGATGCCTTCGTTCTCTGAGCAACTTGGGGGGCTCTCTGACTTGGCCATTTCGGACTGCAAAATGGGCTTCTATGGAGGGTTTCAGAATTTCAACTCCAGATACCAACCACATGTTGGGGAGTTTGGAGAAGAATGTTGTGGGTTTGTGGAGGATATTAAGCCACCTGCTTATCCTAATACTGCCAGAGAAAATTGGGTATGAATATGATTAATTATTGTTGAATTGATGATTCCATGTTGTGTTTCATGTTATCAGTAAGAGTTACAATGATGGAACAGGATTCAAACTTATAATACAGTGCATATCACTTCCACTTCTGTTAGTTATTAGGCCAACCCTTGTATTTCATTGATGATGTAGTGCATGTAGCAAGGTTAAATCTTTTGCATACATTATTATAAGCATGGTTTTATTTTATAATAATTTTAAATTTTCATATATGTAGTCTCCTTAGGAAGGGAGTTGTAAAATGAAACGTGTCATATGTGAAAGCCTCTTCCAAATTTGAAAGTGGAACCTCTAAATTTTCATTCCAAGGAGTCATGATGATCCCCTCTTTTAATTTTTTTTTTCAATACAAGTTTAAGAGAATATTTCTAAAGTTCTTTGATCACATATTAAGGATAGTTCTCTTTTTTTTTTTTTTGTAATGATCATATATTAAATAGTAAGGATAGTTTCATTTTATTAAACGCTGTTTTGAATTTTATGGCAGGGAATTCAGGGTAATCAAATGGCAGCAGTTGAGGAGCCTAACATAAAGGTAGGAAGGTACTCAGAAGAAGAAAGGAAAGAGAGAATTCTCCGATATTTGAAGAAAAGAAATCAAAGAAACTTTAACAAAACCATCAAGGTCTTTTTATATTCTCTCTTTCACACACTCACACTCACATACACACTTACACAAGACTCTTTCATCTTTCTGCATAATCTGGAATATGGAATTCACTTTCTCATTGACCCTTCTCCACAGTACGCATGTCGGAAAACCTTAGCTGATAGGCGAGTGAGGGTTAGGGGAAGGTTTGCAAGAAACAATGAGCTATGTGAAGAAGACATGGCAACAAAAAAGCATGAGAATGATCATCATCACAAAGAAGACTTCTACGGTGGTGATTCAATCCAGTTCCAGGTAACTTTCATTCTACACTGTTAAGATGGATATTTAGAAACGAGAATCCATAGCTGACAATGAAATGTCATCCTATCCAATGAATAATAATACTGTAATATAGTTTTAGCCCTTTTAATATTTTCTAAACAAAGTAGTAACTAAAAAATAAATATGCTCAATTCATTTTTTAAACATAAAAAATTATCCAAACTTTCTTGGTTAAATTTCTTTATAATTTTTTTTGTTTCTAATATGTCATTAAAATATAACTATCTAATTTCATGCCTAAATGCATAAAAAAAAAAAAAAAGAAATTGTGACAACCATAATAATTTCTGATTAGATAATCCTTTATGCATGCAGTTAAAGAATGACGAGGAGGATTGGCTTCAAGAGGCTATGGCAAGTCTAGTTTATTTATCTCATTCTTCACCGGAAGACATGTAACTAAATTAATTAGCATCATTGATTCCACATGATCGAGAAGCTCTAGTTCAAGAAGATGTGGGTTTGAAACTAGTAGTGCAAGGTGAATAGGAGGAGAGAGAGTTTACCATAGTTAATATTTTGCGATTGTATGCTAATTTGTTCTCTTTGAAAATTAAGCACGTAGATATATGTAAACTCTAATTGCATGGCGGTGTAACCAGCGGATGTAGATTGTTTGATGTTAATTTTAGAGGCATCGTCTTTGTTAAGGAATTCGATGGGCCTAGTTTGACTGGATACTTGGGTTGATTGAAAGATATAAAAATATTCCATGGAAGAAGGGACTTTATGTTTGAGTAGACAGAAATATTCCGATAAACTAGCTCATAGGTCACTATCTCTCAAACTGTTTGGAGTCAATTCTCTCTATATTGATGTAATTGTCGTAGTGATCATTACTGAAAGCCACTAATCGGAAATTCGATCTAGTTCTCATATTGGGATGATGGATATATATTGGGGTCTCTACAGGGACGTTTTATATTTACATTGAATGAACTTTTCAAAATACTTGTGTTAGTCATAGTTAGGTGAGTTTACGAGTATTGATACTAAATTCAATTTTTTTAAAAGAAGATTTTGAATTCAAATCTTATATGACAAAAAAAAAAAAAAAAAGATAATTGAGAGAGAAGACATTATTAAAAGTGATTAATAGAGATTAATTATCAACAAAATTAATAAATACTTTATATTAATAATTTGTTTCCAAAAAAGAGAAAAAGTAGATAAGGGTTTTCCATCTCTACGAATAACCTCTCAATTGAAAGTAAAATAAAAAAAATAACGAATATAAATGAGGAGGAAGAATCTATCTTTCATTTTTCATAAAGTATGTGAGAATTTCTCCCTTTTTAATTAAATGGTTAATTAAAATATGTTTTGAACATTTAAAAGAGTTATATATTTTTTGACAAATAATTTAATTATGTCAAATAGCTAGTATATGTTTGTAAAGTTTACTATACTATTTATTTATTTATTGTAGAACCCTCAATTCCCAATGATAAGTTAAGAAACCCTCGAATCAAACACTAAATGAATGAAAAAAAAATCTTTTAATTTGTTTACATATTAGTATTAAATAATTGTTTTTAGAATAAATGGTTGTTGCACTGATCAAATTATAAAAACATTTACATTATTATTCGATCACAATCAATATGTATGATAAAATTGTTAATTTTTATAATAATTATTACTTTAAAAATCATATCTACTATAAGTTTAATTAATTATAAGATAAAGCATTTTATATTAAAAGTTCATAGAAATTAAAGTGCACTATTCACATTTAAATAATTCTGTCAATTGAGTGTATTTTAGATAATGCAGCTGGTTGAATATATTTTATCTTAGAGTAATGTGTTTTTTTTTTTAATCAGCAAACAAGGGATATACAAATTGAAATGATACAAGGAGTACCACAACCAAGTCACAATCAAAGAAACATGCCAAAGCTAATATGATCTAGCTAGATGATTAATTCCTATTCATGCTCAAAGGATAATAAATAAGACCTAACCAACCAATTGATCATTCCTACCACTACTGTATCACCAACATTTACAACTTTAACATGTATAAAAGCCTCCAGCCATACCCCTAAACCAGAGTGAAAATACCTTTAACCAGCCAATTGATCATCTCAATTGATAATAAATACGACTTTTAGACTAGAGTGAAAATGCCCCCTAGCTAGTATGTATTGTCATCATATACATTTATGCATAGTTAGATATAACAGAAAAATTACCCAACCAACACCTTTTCACAATATCAAGTGCAACGTCACAGGTTCAATAAACACATTTCAAGATTGACAGTCCATTATTGAAAGGTGTAGCCAAAATTTGCGAAAAAATATTACGAAGTTAAGTATAAAATCTGTTACTTCTTTTTTATTGGTTAAAAATAAATAAATAAAATCCGAATGAAAGATTTGATGAAATTATGGGTGTTTTACCATTTCATAGTATACATGTAAAGTTGCTTTCCTACTATTAAGAAATTTCCCTTTTATTGTTAATGTATTTATCTTTTGAGTTACAATAGTGTGCGACACTTATTACAAGTTAAACTGAGCCAAAATAGCTTAAATAAAAAAGAAGTTCCGTATTAAATAAATAATAATAAAAAAAGAATCTGGTATTAAATAGTTTCCAAAATGACTATGCTCTTTGATAGATTTTCTCCCCCTTATATTTGGACATCATGGGTGGAGATGGGTAATTATTAGCGTATAGCTTTTCCATTCAGTTGTGGATGCCAATCCTGTGTACAGGAAAAACGAAAAAAGGAATTATTCTTCATTTGTTTGTGGAATAATGTGAGAAAATTTTAGACAAAGACCTAAGAATATAGAAGGACAAAAACGGAAAGAAAAATATATTTGTAACTTTTGTGTGTGAACATGTGTTATTCTCTATTGTTTCGAGACAGTGGGATGGAAATTATATTTCTGAATAAATGTTTTCTTAATGTATATACAAACTTAAAAATTAAACTCATAATACATATTTAAGAAATAAAAAAAATGTAATCAGAAGAGGAAATTTCAAAAAAATGATTAACCGAATTTTGTGATATAGTTATTATCAAAATTAATAGATATTTCATATTAATAACATTAAAAAAAAAAAAATAACAGTGCACCACACTACATTTAAAAAAAATAAACTCTTTAATTTATGTTTGTTTTTCCTCCTTCCTTCTCCATTTAAGAAAATTATATTTCTTAATAAATATTTTTTTAATATGCATACAAAGTTAAAAATTAAACTCATAATTACATGTTTAAGAAGTAAAAAAAGTAATTAAAATAAAAAAATTTACTTAAAGTGATTAATCAAGTTTTTCCATAGAATTATTATCTAAGTTATAAATATTTCCTAACGTACTTAGAAAAATAAATAAACTCTTAAATCTAAATTTGCTTTCCCTCCTCTGTTCTTCCCTTTCAATACTGAGTTAAGGGTTAGAGAAACCCAAGTAAGGGTAAGGGACCTAGGCGAAGAGAAAAAGATCAGGAACCATGTTAATAATGATTTAAAAAGTAATTAAATCAAAGACATTTGGGTTATTATTTGGTTGAAGTAATAATATAAGATTCGAATTAAAACTATAGTCATAGTTTATGGTTCAACCTATTTAACCATTGCACGACTCGATTTTTGAAACATTGCTTGTGTTAAAGAAACGTGTTAAACTCTTCACTAAGGAACTTACAAGCATATATCCTAGACAATAGATTGCTACCGACATTATGAATCCAATCTATTATTACCAAAGGAAAAAAAAAAAAAAAAAAAAAAAAAAAAAATTTTAAAATTTT